TCTTGTGGAGGCTGAACAGGTTCAGGTCCCGTAGCCTCTCCTAGTAGGGCCTGCTCTGCTGCCCCCTGATCATGCAGGTGGCCCTCCTCTGGACCCTCTCCATGTTGTCCACATCCCTCTTGAAGTGCGGTGCCCAGAACTGGACACAGTACTCCAACTGGGGCCTGACCAGTGTCGCACAGAGGGGGAGTATCACCTCCTTGGACCTGCTCGAGATGCATCTGTGGAGATCGTTGAGCAGATCTTTATTATACTTATGAGTTCTTGTATGAACACTGTATACAGTGTAGATATTTTTAAACTGTTAAACTCTTTTCTGATATAGCCAACAGCATAATTTCTAATAATGTTTTAAGATATTAACTAACATGATTGCAATGTCTAGTAGGAATAGGACATACCAGGTATTAGTAATTGGGTTTAACCATAGAATACAGGTTTAAACAACACTAGAATATCTGCATCTTGGAAGAAATATTTGCATTAGTGTCCAAAACAGAATTTACAATGATGTAATTTAAAATAAGCTAATAAGTATTATTAAATGTTCAAATGTAGACATACACTTATTTGTTGATATTCACTAGTTTCTTGGGTGTTCAGTCAAGAACAGAGAAGGTTAAAAGAAAGAGTAACAAAACGCCCAAAATTTGTAATATTTTGAGAAAATGATCATTTTAAAGTATTAAAAATAATGAAAATATTCACAATATTAAAATATGCTGATTACAATCAGTCCAGTTTGATTATTGCTTGATGATCAGAAAGATCTGCTGAATAATAGAGTAAGAAGACATCAAACAATGGTGACATCATTGTAGCAATCTGGGTACTCACTTCTCTGAAAGAGCACAAACATTATTTATTCTGTAAAAGTATTTATTACATAAATTAAAGTAAATGCATGTAATTTAAAACAAGAGCTGCAAAAGTGTTCTTTAACCTTGAAGTCACAGGAATAGCAATATGAACAAAAATTATAATGTTTTATTTTATTTCTCTGTAAGGCACACCTTGTAAAGATAAACAAGCCTTTTATGTTTGGAGAATACATACTACAGTTTTAAATAAGCCATTTAATTTGCAATATTAATTGCTAATGAACTTCCACTCATGGATAAAACTGTTTCACAAAGAGGAGTTAGTCTCATGGAAGAGGTCCACAGCAAAGATTTTTTTTGCTCTATCTATACTAGTTCAAATATGCCTTTGGATGCATCTGATCATTTCTAACACAGCTTGTTTTATCAACGCACATTGCTGTACACACTATTTTAGAAATGCAGATGCATTCACTGTTCTCTAAAGATTCCATTCTGTTCCACTAGAGGTCTCATAATTCATCCACCAGGGAACTGCATTATTTTACCCATTTTGATCCTACAGTTATCTCTTTAGTACACTTTGAAAATGCAGTATAGTAAAATGGTACTGATATGGCACAAAAGGCACAAAATGGAGCTAGCTCATGTCTTCTTTTCCCTGGCATAAAACAGCAGTAAGTGCTGCCATACAGATTTTCATCTACAGATTTCAGGGTACCCCTTGTTTGGTTGAAGAGGAATAAACTACATTTCATGCCTTTCCCATCATGCCCCATCTGCCTATTCCTTGTCTTGATCTGCCTTTTCTCTACATTTTCCATCAGCGTGAACATCAATATCACAAAGACATGGCTCTAGACTCAAAGACGGGCACCAAACCCTGGCAGAAGCTATGTGTCTCCCTTTCATGCTGAGGGACAGCAGTGAAAAAAAACCATACACTACTCAGAGGGATTAACTTGGGTCTATAGTATTCCCTCAGGCTAAAAAGGGGTTTTATCCTAATGTAATCAGAGAGATGCAATAAATAAATTAGTATGTAAATAAATAAAGATATCCCCACCGGTGAAATATCAAACCTTTGCAGATTCAAAAGAGCCCTGTCACCACATTAACTAAACAAACAAGATAAATCATTTATAACCAGAAAATCTCTCCTGTTTCTTTCCAAAAATGTTCACTCAGTGAAGACTGTTAATGTAGTTTAGGATTTAACCAAATCCTTGAAACTGCCCTCATCTTCTGAGCTTTCTCTCATCAACTAATGCCAAAAGTATGACTACCCTACAGATATTGTTTAAAATAATAAAACAAAGAAAACATCTTAAACAGTAACGTGTGCTTATACAGTATTCATTGCAGACATTCATAAAGCAGCATTCATCTTATAGGAACTAGAATCTATAATCAGTCTGTCATCGTCCTTATAGAAGTGATCATTTATTCACCAGGACCAAGAACGTACATTGAATGATTTGGCTGCTGAAGCTTGGAGACACTTTTAAATTAATTCTCATTATTTTGTTTTGAAAAACCTGCTAACTGCGCTGAGCATCATTACTGCAAGAGAAGTTATAGGATTAACAATGAATCTACTGGAGAGGAAACCCTTGAGGGATTTCAGTAACTCTAATATCTTCTCCTCCAATTCAAGGAAAAAATCTATTAACTAGTGACTGGTGTCAGTTTTTAAGGCAATTACATACAGAGCCTGTTTCTTTATAATTCTGTTCTGAGGGTCTAGATGAACAAAACAAAGAGGTAACAAATACAACTAGATTACTGTAATCACATTATTCAGAAAGAATTAGTATAATGTAAAAAGCACAGCCTGACTAGCATTCCAAGAAAAAAAAGAAAAGAAAAGAAAAAAAAAAAAAGGAGGTTTTGGAAAAATAAACCTAAAAATAAGCTTCACAGGAGTAGTGCATATAAACATAGTTTTTGGTTTTTGGGGTTTTTTTTAAAAGAAGTCCAGTGTCTGGAGACAGATCCCTTTGACAGACTATAAAGTTATCCTTCCCTGATATACAAGATTTACACTATATTTAATTAAATAGAACAATTTTCCAAACCAGGATTTTGATTTTTTAATACTGTGGACTGTGCAAATTAAAATGTTGAATTTGAAATATGGAATAATGGAATAACTTTATATCATTTCATGACTAGAGATTTCAATAATTTGGGGTTGTTTAAAAGCTAAAGATTAGAAAATTAAGTATACTTTTTTACTAAACAACCAAAGAAAAACCAAGATACAATGCCACAGATCTCAGGTTTTGTCCTCATTTTAAATGGTGGGTTCTGAGAAATCTGATGTTAACCTTTCAGTTTCTTGTTTTGGACAATTTCAAATATTTTGTTTTGGAAGTATTTGCTTGAAAATGCAGACATTCTAAATTTTAAGAAGTGAAATGCATCTGGGGAAGACAACAAGTGTTGCAAGTATTTGAGATTAAACTTCTTGAGTAACTGCAGCTATTAGCATTTTGCCCAAACAAATCAATAATTACATTCCTGAAGTCCTTAAAAGATTAAACAGGCTCTTTTAAGAGACTTTTAAATGACCTTGGTACTATTGACAAGCCAAGAAGCATGACTCTTTGCTGATAAACAATTCTATTAATCATGAAACAGATCTTTTTTTGCATACCCTGCTTGGTTGGAATGCTTAGAAAATAATGTAAATCTTTAAACACAATTTAGAGAATTTACTTAAACTTTTCAGATCATTCATTCTGAATGAATGTGGGTTTCATTAAATTGTTTAGACCTTTTAGATTTAGAACAGGGCATTAATCTTCAAGAGACTTATTTAAAATATAAATGAGATACTTGAAACTATAGAAAAAACCGATAGTGGAATAAATTTCAGAATATTTATTAATAAGGGTTTGGTTTTTTTATATACTTTTTAATAGAATGGCAGATCTTGATTCACCTGAACAGGGGAAAGATTCTTTGTCCCTATTTTTCCTGAACTTATAACTTTACCCGTTAGTATTCTATTCTTTATTAGTTTTAGAGGTTTTCCTGTTTTTTTCTGAAAAATAACTGCTTACTTGATTCAGAAACCATTTGAATTGCTTGAACTGATAAACAGTTATTCATACAGTAATTATATTTCTGTACCTTTTTTGGCAAATGTAAACAAAATTCAATCTGATTGACATTATATCCTTGGTTTCGATCTGTATTTTGTACCCACATAATTTTTTAACAAAATAATACGCTGAAATGTTTAGAGACTGAAGGAAAAGTTTTGTTGATTTCTTCAGATAACTTACCCTACTGAATCCAAATTTGCCTTTGTTTGCTACAAGATCTGAAAAAACGTATTCCTTATCTTCCTCAGCCAAAAGCCTTATCAAGCAGCCCTACTAACTTTATGGGGATTACCTGTATGCTGAAATGTTTGCAGTAAACATTCCACTTTCTTCTTCCTTTAAGACTGATAAAAAATATTTGTAAAGCCTATTTAACATGTGCAAAACTATCTATTTTCAGTATGCCACTTAATAAGGTACAACAAAACCATGGTTATAAACAAATTTATATTTGTATCATTAAATTTTCATTTCAATGACATTTTTAAAACATATTAAAATTGATTGTAATAAAAGTAATACTGTGAGATTTTAAGATGAATTTGAAGAATGGGGAAAACTGTGCGCTTAAAATTCTGTGTGTGCTGTTGTATGTAAAAATGTCTTGCCCAGGAATGCAGGTGTATTTTCAACCTTTATGTCACGGTCTGAAGCACTGTCCACATTTAGTCACTGTCACAAACATGGTAACTCTCTATTGCCAGACTGCCACTGCAGCCCAATTGTGAAGTCCTGGCACCACTGACTTCAGAAGAGTTTTACCCCATTTTTTTAAATTTCAAAGAAAAATAATATTAAAATTGCTTCAGAAGATTATAGTGAGTTGTTTCAAAACTCCTATAAGTTTTGTTGCTGAACAGTTTTGCTAACAATTTACTGCAGAGTCATCATCTTGTCAGACCAGATAAAAGTAAAAAAAAATCAGGTCAGTTAATACATATTTTCAACAGTCAACTAAACGCTCACAGTCCCTGGTGTGTAATTTGTCACATAAAGATGATCAATGCAATTCATTATCAATGGCCATTCATTACAAGGACAGAGAAACGAGCCATTAGCACAGTACCTAATGCTGCTCATGCTTCCGGTTTCTGATCCGAGCTTACATCTCTCCAGTTGGCTGGCAACGATCTGGCGTTCAGCCTCAAGTTCTCGAGTCAGTCTCTCAAACTGCAGTTCCTGAAACACAAACACAGACATTCTCTCTGTGATCTCTGCAAAGAGGGAGAATTTCTGCACATGATGTTATATAGTTGGTGAAAGACTGCTATGATGACAGCTTCTGGGAAAAGGGTCCCCCCCACTACTTTCTCTCTAACAGGCTGCCAGTTCAAATTTATGCCGTAACACCTGCAGATTCACTCAGAATTCTGGTCAAGTGCCTTGCAAATGTAGTTTATTTAAGCTGGAATTTTCTAATGAGCTAAATGGATTTAGCTTCTTGTCAAATTTTTATTCATCTGTTTCTTTAAACAATGTTCTCAGATGTTTTTACTAAAGTTGATACAAGCACAGGCAACCCCCGCTTAACGTTGTTTCACTTAGTGCTATTTTGCTATAATGCTCGTTTGAAATTGATACCTGATTTCACTTAGTGTGCAGCAAGTTTTGTTATAATGTTCGTGGTCGCCTTCTTGGGTCATTAAAAATAATTGTGGTTGCCATCTTGGGTTGTCAAATACTTTCAGTTTTGCTTAATGCTCATTTCACTTAATTGGTTCCTGAAAAACCGAGCATCAAGAGCGCTAAGCAGGGGGTGCCTGTAGGCTATAACATGAGGATCTGGTTAGACCCCGACTTCATGTGGCATCCAACGACTAGACAATGGTCCAATTGCTCATGGATCCTGGTACTCATTAGCCAGAGCAGACAGACAGCAAACACCAGCACACATTGCTCACAACAGCTTTATTCAGAATGGAGACAGCTTTAGGTGAGCTCCCTCACAGACACCTAGTCTATGAACATGGGGAGCAGCTTTGAACAATAGATTCTCCCCACATTTATACACTTTGGTTCAAGTTCATTAACATTCACTCCACCTTCATCCCTCCTCTTGTTCCACCCATTTCTCTTCCCATCTCCAGCTCCACCTGTTTACTGTTTTCATAATTAGCATGGGATTGCCTATGCATTTCATTCATTTACATGCCTTTTTGCTATGAGCACATATCTAAGGCCATGAACCCTTTTCTTTTGGTCAGTGAGCGGACTCTTTCTTTACCAATCACCATCCACCCTTTTGCATATATTCATCTCAGTTTCTGTTCCAGGTTCTACCATCTTCCACCTTTTTTGGGCCCCTGTATCTTATCTTGTTCCTTACTGTAGCTGGTTCACAGCACACAGACCTAATTGCTACTTTTTTCCAGAAAAAATGGTTAACACAATTAAAATGGTTACCTAACATAAACAAAATCTTATATATAAAAGATATCACAACAATCCTATTATATGGTTAAAACTACTTGCCTAAGCATCTGTAAGGTTATTTTAATACACCATTTTGCCTTGTGGTCAGCAGCTTTTGCTGGGACACAGGTTAAAGCCTTGTTCCAGCTGCAGATCCAATGCTCCCTAATAATCCGAATGATTGATACTAACAGATCTGAGGACTTTTTAATTTTTTTCAATATTCAGACTAACCCAAGGAATTTGTAGGGCTAGAGACAGAAGTTACACATAAACTGGTTTAAGTGATCAGAAACTGGTTTACACCTGTAACAGAACAGAAGTTTAGTGCACATACACCAGTTGAAGAGTGGCTATAACTGGTTTAAGATAAACCTGATTGAATGTAATATCAGACTTAACTGATTTAGTTTAAGCCAGTTTATGAAACTGCTGTCCCAGACCCCTTCCTGGCTCAAGTTAAATCAGAGGTCCAGCATTTTGTAGCCATGGACTGGGCTGTCTCCTCCAGAGAGTAGGACTGGCCCCACCCCTCTGCTCCCTAGCTGGAGTCCAAGGGCTGACTCACTAGCCGGCTCACTGGCCTCCCCAGGCAAACCTCAGCTAGGGTCTGGGTCCAGGAAGCTTAAACTTCCCTTTTCCTGAGTACAGAGCTGCCCTGCCCTGCTTAATTTACTGCTGGCTGTGACTGTGGACTACAGATCCCAGAGGCACCAGGAAGCAGGAAGAGGAAGTGATGAGCAATGTTGCAGAGCTCTGCTACTGTGATTGTGGACTGCAAATCCCAGAGACCTTGGGGGCAGAATGAAGAGAAAGCAAACACACAGGCCATGCTGGCTACGTGTCAGAGAGCTGTGCTCTAGCACCTCCCCCCACTTCTGGCTTGAGCCACTGCAGGCATGTGGCTGCATTTCTTGAATCAAAAGTGAATGTCTGTTCATTTGCTTATTCATTCAATCTTTGCTGCTTAGACTAAACTGCAAAGACTATATCAATTCAGCCTCAGGCTTTCTGACGGTCTGTACTTAGCCTAGAAGATAATATATGGCAAAGAAAGTGTTGGTACTCAGACACATATGCAGGCAGAGGGGTGTGCATGTTTTAAAGCATAAAAATTCCCAAAGAGCAACATAAATTTTCAACAAGTCTCCCAAACAGCACTCCCCTCCCTTTCTGCCTTGGTTATCATTTCTAATTTGTTTTTGTTTTAGGTTTATTTTGTTTGTTTGTTTTTTTAAAGCTGTGAAGAGATCCCTTCATTTCCTTTCTGCAAACACTGTTTTCCTGGTATGCTGGGTTTGCCAGAGGCTAAAGCAGAAAATATTTTTGGGAATCTCTTGTTAAAATGTTGGCAACATATCACCAGTACATCTGTGTATTCTTGTGCATATACAGTATTTCTGTCTCTCTTCCCCACCACGCACGCACGAGCGTGCACACACACACACACACACACACACACCAGTTCCAAACAAATTCAGTGCTATCGCACAACAAGAGCTCTGTGTAGTGTGATGACTTATTTAATAGTGTACTGCATTTATAGCCAGGATAATCCATTCCCATTACACATAATATAAAAACAAAAAAAGAACAATCAAATATTTGAGTCACTCTTATACTTGACTCAGTGAAAACACTGCCCAATTATTCAGTTTCCCATCTCTCCATTGTCTGTCACGGTAACTATTAATAAACCAACTAATTAAAATCCTGATTAAATGGGCTTTGTGTTCAAGATCTGAAGAGCTCTATCATGACCATCAGTGAAACTGAATTTCTAAAACTGAAGAGCCCTCAGCTAGCAGTGTTAAAAAAAAACAACAACTCTGCTTTGTTACTGGCCCTATGCCCTATACAGGGACACAATGAATTTCAAGCACTGACTCTTGTCTTTAAGGCCAGCCCTGAGCTTCCCCCAACAAACCAGGTGTGGCAATACAGCCCACTGGGCCCTTTTGGAAAAGACCCCCCACCACTAGTTTCCTTTGGCTGGCTTACAAGAGATGGGCTCTAGAAAAAGAGTTGCCTCCTGCCCTTATCAAAAGAGAACAAATAGCAACACAGACCATTTGAGGGAAGGAGGAAGCAAGGGTGACTCAGCTAGTCCTGTGCCATCTACCTATCACATTAATCCCTTAACAGAAGACAAATGGCACACATTCGTCAAACTACAAACAACATTTGCATCCAAAAACAGTGAAGCAGTGTCCATCTCTCCAGTTCAGCTTGATTTTCTATCCCTGTCTTATTTAGTAGGAGTCACAGAGCACAAAGTCCTTCATTGAAAGAGAGGGAAGGAATGGGAGAGGGGAGAGGGAGTGCATTTGAGATGGTTGCTGACATTTGAGAGAATCCATTTTAAGTATTTGTCAATCCACTTAAGACAGGCATGGAAATGAATACCAAATAGTAGACCTGTTGCATCACAATTCACAGGACATCATTCTGTGGCAGAAATAACTGTGTATGTATCGCATTACACTGACCCAAGATAATAAAAATTAGTTCTTCACTATTATACAGGTACTGTGTTTAACCTTAAAGGTTGCTATACTTCAGTGACAGATTAACTGTTTCTTCCTGAATACATGAAAAGTTGGAAGATTTGAGATTCCTAAACCTAGAAAAGAGACTAATGAGAGAGGACATGATAACAATTAGGGCTGTGCTGGACTCTTCCCAGGGGTAAGGGCCCCTGATCTGCCTGCCAGATGACAGGAGGCTGGTGATGCTGCCTGGGACTGGCACTGGGCACAACCTGCACCCAGCACTGAGAAGATCAGTGCTGCTGCTGGCCCCAGCCAGCAACACCAGCTTCCTGTCATCCACACCAGAGCTGACCTGAGGAGGGTACAGGGCCCGGGGCAAATCAACTCATGCGGGGACCCACCCCCACCCCAATTCTGATCCCGGGGAAATCAGTTTTTGCAAGCCCCTCTTCCTATCCCAGGGTGGGGGCAGGTCCCCACATGAGCTAATTTGCCCTGGGCCCCATACAAGAGGCGGCTGGGGCCAGCAGCAGCACCAATCTTCCTGGTGCTGGGTGCAGAATAGCCTATGGGCAATATGTCAAAACAGCATCAAAACAGCAAAACAGTTTCAACAAAATGAAATGGAACAGTGCTTTTGAAACAAAAAGAAACTCAAAAAAACCCACTGTTCCATCGAAATGTCGAACCAGAAGTCAAAGTGGAATGGTGCTATTTCGCACAGCCCTAATAACAATCCTCAAATATAAAAAAAGGATTTTTTATAAAAGAATTTGTGAGTAAATATTTTCTGTCTTCACAGGGCACAGGATGAGTAGTAAAGAGTTAAATTTCAAGGACAAAGATGCAGAATAAGAAAGAAAAACTCTCTCGCTATGAGGCTGATTAAACATTGGAAGAAGCTACCCAGATAGGATGTGGAATTCCTATTTTTGCAATAAATGCAGGCAAGACAAACAGTTGGCACAAATGGTTTAAGACAGAGATGATCTTGCCTCAAAAGCAGGGGGTTGGACAAGATGAAGTCTCTTCCAGTTCTATTTTTGTATGATTCTATCATTCAACATTGTGTGTATTTTGTTAAACTTCTTGGCACTTACTGGAGCAACATTAAAATGGCTTCTGTCAGCTGTTCAGAGAAAGTGGGGACCAGGGAGAATTACCTACACAAACTCTTGCCCAGAAGCAGACATGAAAGTCATTTAACAGAAGACTGATTGAAGTAATCCCATGTACAACTACAGGCATTACAGGACATTAAGACTACATTTGGAA